GGAAGAGGGCCGACTGAGGCGTCGTAGCTTGGGCCGTGAAAGGCAGCGATCGATTGCCGTTCCTTCTCCGGATTCACTACCGCCCTGTGCTCGATGCTCTTGTACTTCCCATTGGTGTATATCTGTTGTATAAGAGAGAGCAAAAGAAAAAGAAAAAAGAAAAAAGAAAATTAATTACAGCTCGGGAATATTCTACAGCCTTTTTCCTATTTTAACTCAGAATTGCGGAAGGTAATTTCAGTTATTATCCCTCGATTGACTCCTCTCAATGACTAATATCGTCTCCCTAAAGTTATGCCATCATATTCTCCTCTCAATGACTAATATCGCCTTCTATTAGGTTGCTCTTGATTTCTCTCTTATCCGGTTCTACATGAAGAAATTCTACCATGCAACATCATCGGCTTGCCATGACTGTTGTGTTGTGACTCAAATACTCAATCTGATATTTTCTGTAAAGGCTGCAGCCAATAGGAGTCCGTTGTCTTCTGGGAGTGTGGAATAATTATATGAATTCAAATTCCCATTTTGATAAGGATAAACAATTCATATTGTGGGCTTGGACTCTTATTGGGGCTCAAAACATGTGGACTTCTATTCCCACCAAAACTCCTATTCCGTAGGTAGCAAGGAGTTTTGGGTCTTCAAGACTATATCTGTACATTCTTTCAAGCCAATTATAATCGTCGATCTATAGAGCACCAATTAAGAAGAGAAAGTTTGTGAAACTTATTTAATATTCTTTCCTCTTTTATTCCTTTATTTGAGAGAGTTGTATTAAGCTTGTAAGATGTTATTAGGGATAGGGTGATTGAGAGATCTCCACATTATATTTCTCACAATTTAGTAAAGTTACTCTCTTTTTTCACTCGTGGAAGTAACCTATAAGCTGAACCACATAAATCTGTGTGTTCTTGTGTACTTGATATATCTTGTGCTTTCGTGTGATTGATATTAGTTTATCCAGGGGATTTTGTCATAACAAATTGGTATTAGAGCCCTCAGTTATCGATTGGACAAGAAAATGACGACAACCACTATGAAGTGAGATATCGAGAAGTTTGATGTCAATATTGGTTTTAGACTTTGGCAAGTTAGGATGAATGTCGTGCTAACACAGAATGTATTGAAGAAAGCTTTGTTTGGGAAGTCGAAGAAACCAACTAGCATGATGGAGGAAGATTGAAATGATTTGGATGATAAAGCTCTCACAATGATCTAGTTATGTTTGACAAACAAAGTTTTTCAAAAAGTTCTTACGGAGAAGACAACCGCTAATTTGTGGTCTAAGTTGGAGGATTTATATTTGACGAAGTTACTCACTAATCGCGTCCTATTGAAGCAATGTTTATACATACTTCGAATGTCGGAAGAAACACCGATTAAATCTCATATTAGTGAATTTAATTCTACGATTACAGATTTGAGTAAGGTTGATGTTAAGATCGATGATGAAGATCAAGCATTATTATTATTGTGTTCTTTGCCACATTCCTACAAGCACTTCAGGGATACTATGATTTACGATCGAGATTGTATTGACATCAAGAATGTCAAAGAGAAGTTGTTGAATAAGGAGAAGATCGATAAAAAGTTAACCACAAGCAAAAGTAGCGATAAAGCTAATAGCATGTTTTTTCGAGGAAGATCAAAAGAAAGGGGCTTTGAAGGTAATAGGTATACGTCGAAGCACAGGAATTTGACCTGCAGATATTACAAGAAGAAAGAGCACATTAAGACCAATTGTTACAAGTTGAAGAACAAGAAGAAACAAGAAGAATATGAAGCAAAACTAAAGGATGACTCCGCTAAAGTTGGTATTGCTGAAGATGTGATTTTGTTGATTACCGATGATAAAATCAAGAGCATTGAAAATAGAATTTTGGATTCGGCCTATGATATGTGTCCTAATTGGGACATGTTTACCACTTATGAAGCTATTCATAGTGGAGTTCTCACGGGAAATAACGTCTCATGTAAAACTGTTGGGATAAACACCATTCAGATTAAGATGCATGATGGAGTCATTAGGACTTTGACTGATGTTAGGTATGTTCCAGGTTTAAGAAAGAATCTCATCTCTTTAGGCACTCTTGATAGTATTGGGTGTAATTTATAGGTGAAAGTGGAGTTGTTAGGATTACAAAAGGCTCTCTTGCAGTTATGAAAGGAAAGAAGATTGACATCTTGTATATTTTATAGGGTTCTACCGTTATAGGTTCGACAACAGTTGCATCATCGATATCAGAAGCTGATACTACTAAATTATGACATATGAGATTTGGTCATATGACTGAGAGTAGATTCATTGAGTCGAGCAAGAAGCATCTTTTGTGTGGACAGAGTATATAAAAATTAGGATTCTGCGAGCATCACATCTTTAAAAAGCAGAAAGAAGTCAGCTTCAGTATGGTAATGCATCGAGCTAAAGATATTTTGGATTATATTCATTCATATCCTTAGAGACCTTCTCAAGATGTCCCGAATAGTGGTAATTCGAGATATTTGTTGATCTTCATTGATGACTACTATGGGAAGGTTTGGATCTATTTTTCGAGACATAAAGATGAAGTGTTTGTCACTTTCAACTAGTAGGAGTCTTTGATTAAGAAGCAGACTGGGAGGCTGATTAAGAGGCTTGGAACTGATAATGACCTTGAGTTTGTGGAGGAGAATTTAATGAGTTCTGCAAGAAGGAGGGAATTGTTAGACATCACATGGTCCCTTACACACCGCAATAGAATGAGGTGGCAGAATGTATGAACAGAGCCTTGGAGAAAGCTTGTTATATGTTGTTCAATATAGGTTTAGATAGGGAATACTAGGCAGAAGCGATGAATACGGCTTGTTACTTAGTGAATCAGTTGCCATCTACTGCTATCGGTTGTAAAACTCTAGAGGAGATTTAGTCCGGTAAGCCTGTGGATTATTTTAATTTTAGAATATTTGATTGCACTGCATATGCGCATGTCAGTCAAGGGAAACTTGAGCCTCGAGTGAAGAAATACATATTCCTAGGTTATGCATTGGATGTTAAGAATTTGAGGTTATGGTGTCCTAATCTGAAATCTTCTAATATTATTATCAGTCGTGATGTTACCTTTGATGAATATGCTATTCCACCAAAAATGATCATTAATTTCAGATGATAAGGCGCACACTACAGGACAAAAGATGAAGTTAGAAATTTGTGATTCAGCTCTTCAACATGATAAGACTTCACGAGTTCAACAGCTAGACCTCGTTCAAGTAGATAAAACACCTCAGCAGTTGTAGGAAGATCATGAATACACTATTGCCAGAGATCAGTCTAGATGAGATATTCCACCACTGCAAAGATACGAAGATACAGTAGCTTATATATTACCGGTTGACAATTTTATGCCCTTCAGCTATTCAGGAGGTACTTCAGGTGATGACTTCGCTAAGAGTTACGGTTGTCGTACGGACAATTCAGTCGATTTGTTGAGGAGGCCTCTTTCAATTGGCAGAGCTTAGACTTGATCGATATGTGTCTCACTTAAATGCTCTGCGGGGCTATTGAAGAAGTGCAGTAATTTAGCTTTCTGAATTGAGAATTTTTTGACGCATTTGAGTCAAGATGGAAATTTGTTGTGTTGTGACTCAAATACTCAATCTGAAATTTTTTGAGGCTGCAGTTAGTAGGAGTCCGTTCTCTTGTGAAAGTGTGGAAAATTATATGAATTCAAATTCTTGTTTTGACATGGATAAGCAATTCATATTGTGGACTTGGACTCTTATTGGGTTTTAGAACATGTAGACTTCTATTCCTACTAGAACTTCTATTCCGTAGATAGCAAGGAGTTTGGGTCTTCAAGGCTATATATATATAGTTTTTCAAGCCAATTATAATAATCAATCTACAGAGCACCAATCAAGAAGAAAGAGTTATCTTGTGAAGCCTATTTGATATTTTTCTCTTTTGTTTCTTTATTTGAGAGAGTTGTATTGGGCTTGCATTTGTAAGGTGTTGTTAGGGATAAAATGATTGAAAGATCTCCATATTACATTCATCACAAATTAGTAAAGCTATTCTTCTCATTCACCCGTGGAAGTAGGCTATAAACTGAACTACGTATATCTATGTGTTCTTGTGTCCTCGATATATTTTGTGCTTTCGTGTGACTGATATTAGTTTATCCTGGGGATTTTGTCATAACAATGACTCTGCTTATGCTTCTTGTCCTATTTCAAGATATTCCACAATTGGCCATCACACCTTTCTTTGTACTAATCCAAGTTGGTGGAAATCAAACAAGTAATAAACTCTATCTCACTCAGATATATGCAAACTTATTTATACTTTCTACTCTCCGGTCGAGGGGGAGTGGGAGTGTTGAAGAAATCCAATATTGTTGTAACCGGTTCCTATTTAGGGCATTTGACTGCAATTAATTCTATCTTATTACACCCGAACCTATATTTATCACCTTGACAGTTAATAAAATCCTCCCACTCTCTTCTACGTTTTAATCTATAGGATATAAAAGTTAGAACCTCACTTGCCACAAATTTGTAAAGCGGATTTAAAAAGGAGATACCTCTCTATGAGTCTAGATTTCGCCCCATTAAAGGGCCCTCGACTGGCAGAGGCATGCTATAAAAAAAAAATACTATAACCATCTACCCTCACCAAAACTTCAGGGTTTTGGTGCTGTGGCTGGGTGCTTCGATAGCTATTGCACGACGGCCACCAATACAGAATTTTATACTCTTAACCTACAGTTTTATTAATATATCATTCAGTGAAAATCTTGATATTCATTATTTTTGCAACCACTGTATAGTATACTCTTTGTGATCCTTTGATGGTTTCAATTTCACAGGCTAAATAAAGATTTCTTACCTCAAGGATATCACCTATATTGACGATGAAAGCACCAGGGATCGGTTTGATCGGGAGCCACCCTCCATTTCTCTTGATTTGGAGCCCCTCCACTTGGTTGACTTGAAGGAGCAATGTCAAACCTGTTGAGTCAGAGTGAGGTGATATGCCTAGCACTTTGTTGGCGAGAGGACATGGTGGGTAGTAGTTCATATTCACAGACTGGACTCCGTTATCGAACAACTCGGTAAACTCTTCTGCACAGAGACCTAAATTCTTGGCCATTGATCCTAGTAAGAAATCCGCAACCTTCTTCAACTCAGCCGAGTACTTATCCAATGTATCCCTGCAGGTAGAGTCCATGAATATCTCCGAAGATATATAAGACAGTTGGCAAGAAGAGCAAATATGCGTGTAACTGCGCCTAATAAGATTAATCACGATACGATGTAAATGCAGTTCATTTGCTGAACAGTTTTACCGAAATGATGCAGGATTCTTTGGCCAAAATCTCATGCTCCTGAAACCGAGTGGTCGTGTTCTGAGGAAAAACATATCTGCCCAGTCCAATTTCTGCTCCTCTGAGACAACAAATGCATGGCCGTAGCCTTCCATGCTATCAGGCAACTGCGCATATGCTTTCTTTTCCTCTATGGGCAACTGGAAAAATTCTTCAATGTCAGCCTTCAATGATTCGATCACATCATCGGGCACTCCATGATTTATAAGCTGAAAATGTCAACGTGATGAATTAAGAATCGTAACCAGTCATATTTTGAAACATTCAGATGCGACTAAAGAAAATGTTAGAGAAATTAATCAAAGGCATGTAGAAAAAGAGAATTTTTGTAACATGTACAAATAAATCATGTTAAAACAGAATAATACAAGTTCCAGAGTGTGCAGAACAGATATTGATCGATGAATAAATCTTCTCTGCACCTCTATTTATGACATAGGAGAATAATTTTCTTTGGTACCTCAAAGAAAAATATCCATCGAAATGTTATCTTTAAATGACACATATCATAACCAAATCATCTAGAAAGCTAGAGATCAAATCTTCACTCTCATTTTCACCTGCGAAGTGCTACACATCTAGACTACCAGTAATACATGCTTAATCCACCACACAGATCATAGCTTATAATTTTTATTATGTAACTAGCAATAGGAGAAGATTTAATATAGAGTGCTTATTTGCTAATGTAAGAAGTCACAGATCAAACCCCACTCCTCACACGCAAATTTCAGCATGGCGGCCTCAGCTTCGGAGGATTCAAGATCCTGAAGTCTCCCAAGGTTGATGACCGGGATCTCATCGACAATAGTACCATGAAAGCCAGCCTCAACATCAGATCTCATGTACCTTTGAGGAATCTCAGTTGGGTCCTTTGAAGAAGCAGCAAGAGCCTGTACATTTTCAACTGGCAGAGATCTACCTAACTTCTGCAACGGATTCAGGTCATCATTTCCCGACTCTAGCTCCATTCCCTAACTCTGGGTATCACATCCAAAAGAGCTGACCAATCTCTCTTATATTATCAATTCGTATAATAATAGCGTCAATGCCGAGAACAATATTATATGTCAACTAGAACCATCAAGCCATGTGGAACCTTATGATAGACCTTTCATTAATTAAGCCATGCGGAAACCTGCGGGAACAAAAAACAATAAAAGAAGAAGAGGGTGCATAAAAGTTTATCATCAAACTTTCATCCATTATTTACAGAATCTTCACAAAGAGATGATGTTTTGCATTTTTTTTTTGCGGTTCAATGCTGTTTATACTACAATTTCTACAGTTTACTGAAGTCGCCTACAGTAGCTATAAACTGTTGTTGTGGATCCAGCCCAATCGGGACCCACAAAGACTAGGTCAAATTTCTTGAATCATATTAAGAAAAGAATTTAGATAAAATTTCTTTATTGAAGGAATTTGGGCACATGTAGGGGTGCATTCGGTCCGGATACGGCTCGGATATGATGCTTACCATATCCATATCCGCTTACCTATCTCGGATACGGATACGAATATACCTTGGCAAGAAAAATTCAAATCAATATCCGCTAAAATCGGATACGGTTACGGATATAGATACAAATATATAAGGATGCATACTGATACAAAACGAATATGAGAAAATTAGATAGTATTGAGAAAAATATAGTTCATGTGATACAAAAAAGTTTGTTAGTATATTCATTATAACTGAAAAGCTAAGATTAGACATCTTGATCATCAAAATTAACCACAAATCCATAATCTAAGAATCGAAATTATTGTAGGAGTATGACTAATATGTATTCAGATATTTCGGATAAGGATACAAATATTTCACTACAATACTATATTTGTAACCATATCCTATCAATTATACATTTGAATAACTATATTCGTATCCTAACGGATACATTTACTAATATTTCCTCGGCTATGGATACAGTTTAGCACCTCTACACATGGGTGACATCACATAGAGATTGATTTTTCGGAGCAACAGAAACCCAAGAGAAATTTGGGGTCGCGCGAATTTCGAGAGGAGAGAGAAAATTTGAGATTACGGATAGCTCGGTTGTCCGATTACGGTGATTCAAACACCGTTATCTTTACAATGAAAATACTGTCAATGATATGATGTTAGTTTCTCCACGGGTGTTGGAGATTTGTGCTGAGATAGGTTTTAGAGTTTTGATGCCCTAGAGGTAACACTGTATTTTTATTTTGTAATTTGATCCTCAAGTTTGGATATAACTTTGAAAGATTATAATTTTGATTGATAGTGGAATATTGCTCTCTAGATTACTCCGTGGATGTAGGCACGATTTGCCAAACTATGTTAAATCTTGATATTTGCTTACGTGTGGTATTTTCATTTGTGTCGTTATTTATTTAGTGTTTAATTCCACATATTAATCTCCATAAAATATATTATAAGTGGTATTAGAGCCTTGGTTCGAGACGTTTCTTAAAATGGAAAAGATGGAGAGTTTTGGTACAATGATAAAATTAGATGGTTTAAATTGGTAAGTATAAAAGTTCAAGATGGAAGATAATCTGTATTGTAAAGATTTGCATGACCCTGTTAAGGAAGATGAAACTAAGGCAGAAAAGATGACCGATAAAGAGTGTGAGAAACAACACAAGAAGGCGATCACTTATATTCGGATGTGGATTGATGTCAGTGTATTTCATCATGTATCGAGTGAGACTAATACGAAGTCTCTTTGGAAGAAGCTTAAGGATCTTTACGAGCAGAAGACCGCAGGAAACAAGATGTTTATTATGAGGTGGTTGGTGAACTTAAAATTCAAAGAAGAAAACAGCATAGCGGGACACTTGAATGAGTTTAATTGCTTGATTAATCAGTTAGCTACCATGAACATGACTATCGATTATGAGTTATATGCTTTATTGCTATTGGGTTTTTTACCAGACAGTTGGGAGACACTGACTGTGACGGTCGGCAATGCAGCTCCAGATAGTATGCTATCGATGAGTATAGTTACTAGTAGTTTATTCAATGAAGAGACTAGGAGAAAGTCTACCAGCACAGATAACTCACAAACACTTGTTACGGAGAACAGTGGTAGGAGCAAGTACATGGACCAGTCCAGATGTCATGGAGCATCTAAGGGAAGATTAAAGTTTAAAGGGAGAGGATACTTTCATTGTGGGAAGTCGGGTCATATCAAGAATAATCATTGGGCATGAAAGAAAGAGAAAGTTAGGCACATAGATGAAAAGAAAGATGAAAAAAAGAAAGCAGACAGTCTACAACTATTTTTCCTGAACCGATGTTATTCTTATTTTAGGGAAGAAGATTGTATGCATATTATAAGTCAGAATTTTGAGTGGATAGTGGATACAAGAGCTACATGTCATACTGCCTACAATCAGGATCTTTTCACATTGTATAAAGCATGTGACTTTGACAATGTGAAGATGTGCAATACTAGCTACTCGAGATTGTGGGACTTAGTAACATACACTTACAAACATATACCGGGTGCATATTGGTCTTAAAGAATGTGCAATATATTCTCAATTTGTGGTTGAACATGACTTCTGGTCTTACTTTGGACTAAATGGGATATGAAATTTAATATAATTGAGAAAATTATAAAATCATCAAAGGCTCTTATATGGTGGCTAGATGAAGTATATGTTGCAATTTATACGAGACTCAAGCGAAGGCTTCATATGATTTTTTGAGCGTGGTTTAAGACGGTGATACTCTCAGTTTGTGGCATAGAAGGCTCGAGCACATGAGTGAGAATGAGTTGCAGATATTAGCAAAGAATTCTTTCATTCCCTTTGCCTAAGATTTATCACTCACCCATTGTGATTATTGTTTATTTGACAAGCAACATAGAGTTTCTTTTAGTAAGCCTTCGAAAAGAAAATATAATATTCTAGATTTGATTTATTCTGATGTTTTTGGTCCTATCGAGGTGGAGTCCTTAGATATTTTGTCATATTTATTGATGATGCATCACGGAAGATATGTGTCTTCTCGTTGAGGACAAAAGATTAAGTGTTTTCAGTCTTCCAGCAGTTTCATGCCATAGTGGAGAGGCAAATTGGAAAGAAGTTAAAGTATTTGCGCACTGGTAATGGAGGAGAGTATATTTCTATTGAGTTTAAAGATTATTGCTCCAATCATGATATTCGGTATCATAGGATAGAGGCCGACACATTGTAGCATAATGGAGTTGCAGAGAGTTACAACAAGACCATTGTAGAGATACTCAGATGAATGTTGAAGATGGCGAAGTTACCTAAGAGCATCTGGGCTGAAGCTATTCATACTACATGCTACATAATCAATTGGCCTCCTTCAGTTCCTTTGGATTTTGATATTCTAGAGAGGGTTTGGTCCGAAAAAGATATTTTCTACTCTCATATGAAGGTATTTGGTTGCAAGGTGTTTGCACACATTTTGAAAGAGAAGAGATAGAAGCTTAATAATACGGCTATTCATTGCATCTTCCTAGGTTATGGAGAAGATGAGTTCAACTACAAGCTATAGGATCCAGAGAAGAGACGAATTATCAGACGAGAAGATGTGGTTTTTTAGGAGGAACATACTATTGCAGATCTCAGGAGAGCAGAGCAGTCAAAGAGTGTTGCTAATAAGATTTTAGATATGATATCTATTCTGTCTCCAGTATAATTGCATCCTACAGATACGGAGCATGTGCATGATGATCGTGTTGATGATGATTGTCATACAGAGTAGGGAGTCGGTGATCAGGATCACGAGCAGGAGACTCCTCAGCACAGGGAGGATAAACAACAATAGGAGATTGTAGAGCCATAACCTAGGAGATTAGTTAGAGAGCATACACCATCCACGAATATTTTCTTTCGAAGTATTCGTTGCTAACGGAAGAGAGGGAGTCAGAGAGCTTTCAGGAGGTACAAAGTCATAAAAATAAGGACAACTGGTTCCAGGCTATGTAAGAAGAGATGAGGTCTCTTTAAAAGAATGATACTTATGAGTTAAAAGAGTTGCTGAACGACATAAAATCTTCGAAGAACAAGTGGGTGTTCACGTTGAAGAAGGATGGCTACAAAGAGATTCAAAAATATAAAGCCAGATTAGTGGTGAAAGGTTTTGGTCAGAAAAAGGATATTGATTTTGATGAGATTTTCTCACAGATTGTGAAGATGATGTCCATCAGAATTATCATGGTGTTAGTAGCTAGTTTAGACCTCGAGATTGAGCAACTTGATGTGAAGATTACATTTCTTCATGATGATTTGGAGGAGAAGATCTACATGGAACAGCAAGAGTATTTTGAAGTGCAGGCAAAAAATACATGATTTGTAGGTTGAAGAAGAGCCTCTATGGTTTGAAACATGCACCCAAGCAGTTGTACAAGAAATTTGACTATTTCATGTTGAGTCATGGCTACCAAAGAATAGTTACAGATTATTGTGTATATTTTAGGAAAATTTTAGATTCTAGCTTCATTGGACAGTTAGATGATCGGTGGGCTGTAATATAAATCCTTTGACATAAAGGATTTGGGTTCGGCGCAACGGATTCTTAGTATGGATATTGTTCATGACAGAAAAGCCAAGAAATTGTGCTTATTACAGGAGAAATATGCTGAATGGTTGCTTGATAGATTCAACATAAAAGATGCCAAGTCAGTTAATACTCCTATTGCAGGTCATTAAAGCTTAGTAAGAAGTTCTGCCCGACTACAGATGAGAAAAGAGTGAGATGAAGAATATTCCTTACTCTTTACCTATAGAGAGTTTGATGTATGTCATAATTTATACTCGGCCAGATATAGCTCATGCAGTTAGAGTTGTGAGCATATTTTTTTAACCTAGGAAAAGTTTATTGGGAAGGTGTAAAGTGGATCTCGAAATATTTGAAAGGCAGGTCCAGATTGTGTTTGAGTTTTAGAGCTTCCAAATCAGTACTACAAGGTTTTGCAGATGTGAATATGGCAGGTGATCTCGATCACAGGAAATCTACCTTAAGTTGGTTGTTCACTTTTGCAGGGGGAGCTGTATTTTGATAGTACAAGTTGCAGAAATATGTTACTTTATCTACAACAGAGATGAAACATATTGCAGTTGTAGAAGCTAGTAAGAGATAGTTTGGTTGAGAAGATTTCTGCAAGAGTTAA